AATTTATAATTTATAATTTATAATTTATAATTTATAATTTATTTTATATATTTATACTTTAATTTAATTTAATTTAATTTAAATTTCCTAGTCAGTGCTGCGAGAGGCACCTGGAGGAAGCCAAGGTGGCTGAGCTGCCTTTTACCTGCCCAAGAAACAACCAAATCCCTCAGGGGCATTTTCCAGCCCAGGATCAGCTCTGGAAGGAGGAATGGGAACGCACCATCTCTGCCCTGGTCCCTTCCCCCTCAATGTCACTCACCCTTAATTGTTAAATAATTAATGTGTGGTGCCTTGCCACAGCCCAGACTTTTCCTGCTGGGAAGCCTCTGCCACTGGCCTCAGGGAAGAGCTGGATTGGCACAACCCAGAGTTTGTGGGATGCACAGAAGGACCTTGGTGTTATCCTTGTGCAGGTCAGAGGGTCCCATCCCATAGAATTCACCCCTCAGTGGATTCTGCTCCCCCTGCTCTGCTCTGGGGTGGTTCCCTGTCCCTCCCAGGCTCTAGGGAAGGCACAGCTGGATCCTGGCACACACCAGGCTTGGCTGCTGCAGCACCCACTGCACGCAGTGTTTGTGTGCATTAGGAAGGTTTCCAGCCCCGTGGAGCTGAGCTGATCTTGGATAGAAGTTTTTAGAATGAAGGGCTCTACCTCCTGCTGCCGGCTGGAGCCAGGCTCTGGAGGGCAGCACCAGATTTTGAGGTGGTTTTACAGCTCAGATGAGGACTAAGAATTGCTGTCAGAGCAGCAGGAGCTGGGAATGGAGTGAGCAGGCAGGAAATGGGGGTAGCAGGGTCACCAGAGCACCTTCACTAGGCTGCTGCTCCCCTCCTTGCCCAATGGCCAGGTGAAGAACACCAGGGTTTTTTTTCAGATGCTCTCAGCTGCACCTAAAATAGCAGGGACTGAGCACCCAGCTGCTGTTTGGGGTCTGTCCATGCACTGGGGCTGCCTGGCTGTGTCCATGAGGCCCCCACTGGATGGGCTTCAGAGCAGGGTGTCCTTGCCAAGATGACCTGAGGGTTTGGCTTGACAGCTCTGACTGTTGCTCCTGAGCCACAGTTCCTGCAAAATCCTGTCTGTGCATCTGTCTGCCACATCCTGCTGTGATCCTCCTCAGGCCTGGTGTGCCAATGACTCCTTCCCTGTCACCTGCCCATGAAAAGTGTGGATGAACACAAAAATCTTTCTGCATTTAAGAAGTCCTGGAGATTATGATTTTGCCTCTCACTTCTACTTGGAAAAAAAGTGCTGTTTTATGAGGAAAAACTCTGGTTTGGGGTAGATTTCCAGCTGCTGTCTCTGAGCTCGCTTGTGGCTGGTGCTGTTGCAGCTTATGGTCCCTGGAGCTTTGCTGACCAAGGCCACTCCTGGTTTCCACTGGGCAGAAGGAAGAAGTTTGAACATTTGGGATGCTGTGGAAATGCAGCATCACAGCAGCATTTCCTCTTCATCAGCCCCACGGGAACACCCTGGGATAGTGCACAGTCCAGGTTAGTTTGTGGAGGGGTGAGTGGCTGGTGCTGGAATTGCTCAGCACTTGAGGAGCAGATCACTAAGCCAGGCCAGGCAGGTGGGGCTGGAGGGAGGTTTCTCTCTCTGGAGGAAGATGGGATGGAGAAAAGCTGAGGGGAGAGCATCCCACCATGGGGAAGGCAAGGGACAGCTGTTCCCCAGTGTCACCCTGTTTTATGGTACCCATGGTGGTATCCAGTGCAAAGAGGGACAGCCAGCCATGGGGCCAGCGTGGCATGAGGGGGCCCTGCTGGCACCACAGGCTGGCCCTGTCCTGTAGCCTGGCCAAGAGTGCACATGGGGGACAGCGTTGTCCTTCCAGCCATTCTGGGCTCAGCCACCCCGGGGTGCTGCATCCCTTCCCTCACCCCCAGTGGGGTGCACCCATCCTGGCTGCCCTTGGAAATGGGCGTCTCTGGGCTCTGTCCACACTTGGCTCCTTTAAGCCCCAACTTTTTGGAGGCTTTTTGTGCTTGTCACCTTTCACAGGAGAGTAGGAAACACCTCTGCTGAGCTCAGCACTGCTTCTCCTGCCTCACGGCCCTTTCTTTGTCTTCCCAAGGACACCGCCCTGGTCCTTTTGGCATCACCCTGGAATAGCTGGGGGACTTTGGGGAGCCACATCGTGGGTCGTGACTGTGCCCCCGCGAAAGAAAACAGAATGATGGGGTCTCAGAGCTGCAGCCTGGTGCTGTCACACACTCCAGATCCGCCTTTCCCCACAAGGGAGGTTTGCCCTGCTCCTAAAACCCCCCAAATCAAACAGCACCGGGACACGGAGCTCGGTGGCAGTTCTGGTCTGAGTGTCCCCATCAAAGGGCCATCCCTGCCCCCCGAGGTCCCCACGCCGGGGCTGTCACCTGCGCGGGGACGCTGCCGCCCTCTCCGCCCAAACCCGGCCATCCTCCCCCCAGAACGCCATCCCCTCTTCTCGGGGAGCTGCCGCTCGCCCGTGTCCGCTGCCCCCTGGCCCGACCCCCCCTCGGCGGGGCCGGGTCGCCGCTAGATGGCACGCGGAGCCCGGCGGAGCCCGGCGGAGGCTCCGCGGGGCGGTGCGGGGCGGAGCGGAGCCGCAGCGCGGGGTGCGCGGAGCGGAGCCGAGGGGCCCGGCCATGGGCTCGGCCGGCAGCGGGCAGGGGCAAGGGTAGGGCAGGGGGGCCGTGTCCCCCCGGTGCCCCCGCCATGCGCCCCCGCGCAGCCCCGCGCCCCGCCCGCTGAGCCCCGCTCGCTGCCGCCCTCGCTGCCTCTGGGGGGGTGCGGGGCCGCCCCCTGCCCGCAACTTCGAACGATGATCACTGTCAACGCGGATGGCAAGATAATGGTCAGAAGATGCCTCGTCACCTTGAGACCCTTTAGGTAAAGTTGGTGTTTCCCCCTGGCCGCTGTCGCCTCGCCCGGCTCCTGCGCTGGCTGCGGGGGCTGCGGCTGGCCGGGCTCTGTGTGTGTGCCTGGGGCTGCGTGTGTGGGGATGGAGCCCGGCTGGGCACGGCGGGGATCAGGCGGGGATCCAGGCGGGGATCAGGCGGGGATCAGGCGGGGATCCAGCAGGGCTGCCCGCGGGGCAGAGTGCGGCTCCTGCAGCTCTCTCTGTGCCGGCTCCCGCTTCCCCCGCCGCCGCTGTCTCCGGGATTATCGCACGGCTGCTCGCCGCCGGCTTTTTTGGGTACCGCTCTCGGAAATGTTGATACTGGGGGGATTCGGTTCCTCTGGTTTAAGCCTGGGGATTTCAGAGCCCACCCTGAACTGTCAGTGGGGCTAGGGTGGATAACCAAACCCGAACCCCTCCGGCTCCGGCACATCCGCACCCACCCATTGCTTTTCCCCTTGCTGTAACTCCCCATTTTTGCTTCCGTACATTCGCTTCCCCTCTCTGGCTTCTTTGCTTCACTGGAGATGTGCATGGGTTGCTCCCGAGACACACGGGAGGTGTTGGCAGGTACGTGGTTTTTGATGGGGAGAGGGACCAAAACCCCTTGGAGATGGAGGGGAACGTGCCAGGGGATGAAGCTCAAGCTGGGGCGAGCCCAGCCCAGCGGTTTCCAGCGCTCCCCGCTGTGTTTGGAGGTTTGGGGTCACCGGAGGGATCTGCTCGCTGCCTTTTTGCTCAGCCCAGGCTGCAGCCCGGCGTGGAGAAGGAGGAACAGGCTGGGCTCGCACGCTCGCCTGCACTCAGGTGTGGAGATGTTGTCTGTCTGTCTGTCCTCGGGAGCTGCTCGGCTCTGCTTTCCTGGAGCGATTCCTGCTGCCGGATCCCGCGGCACTGCCCTGGCACTGGGGAACTTGGCCAAGGGGATGCCACAAAGCGGTGGCCGAGGTGTGAGGGCTCCCACAGCTCAGGTTGGCTCCGGGTGGAGCAGGGAGTGACGCGAGAAGGGCACACTCGCCCCGGGGAATGCTCTTTGCCTGGCTGTTTGCTTTCTCAACTGGGTTTGAATTCCACGGTGAGGAAGTGACTGGAGCATCCCTGTGCCCTGGGCATCGCCCCTGAGACAGGGGAGCCCCATCTCCAGCAGTGGCCTGGGGTCAGGGTGGGAGAGCACAGGGAGTGCAGTCCAGGGTGACCACAAAGTCCCGTTAGGGATGAGGGGTTTGTGGTGGCTGGATGGTCTTTGGTGTCCAGGTGGAGAACTTGCACTGTCCTGGCCGTGTGCCTTGGGCTGCTCTCCGGCCAGTACAGACCAGTATTGGTGCCACTGGAACCAGCAGGGTAACCTTGCTAACAGTCAGGCTCCCCCTGTGCAAGAGGAGGAATTCCCAGGACCCTCTCCTTACTGTCCCACAGTGTCCAGGACCTCTGCACCTCCTCCATGCTGCTGTCACGCTGAGTGTGACCCCTGATGTCACAGTCCTGTGTCACCTTGATGCCAGCCCAGCATGGGTGAGTGTTGGCACTGCCCAGCTCCAGCTGTAACCCGTGCAAACCAGCTCTGCTCCCCTAAAAGCAACACCCCACATCCTCAGCTGAGGGTCAGGGATAACTCCAGGACTGGGAGAAGATCCTGGCAGTCAGGGTGGGTCCTGTAAATCGCTTCCCTGCTGCTGGCTGGGCAAAGCCTCGCTGCTCCAGGGAATCCCGTGGTGCAATCCCCTGCCTGATGTGGATTGCTGCCATCGGAGGAGAGGTGCCGTCGGCAAACAGCACTCAGGAAAGCTGATCCTGTGCACCAAAACATTTCATTAACCACCCTCCAGACACGCTTAGCAAAGCAATGCAGAGCCCTGAGCTGGGAGAGCGCCTGCAGAGAGGGAAGGGGAGAGGGAGCAGATCGGTCTGGAAAAGCACAGGAATGTCCAAGGGTGGCTCTGACTTCATCTCAGCAGAAAAGGGGGTCTCATTTGTGGTGGTGCCAGTCCAGGCAAGAACTCACCCCGGAGCCCTGGTCCAGCTCGCCCAGCTCTTGGCTCTGTTGTTCTGTTTGTCAGCTGGAAACCAAAGCCAGGCTCTCCGTGGGATGTAACAGTGGTCAGTGAGAGAGTTCACCCTGGTCCCCTGCACGGATCAGGATGCACATGGCTGAGCATTAGTTTGACAGCACTACAGCCCTGTTGGGCTCTGAGCAAAAAGGGTTTGAGGGAGAGGAATCATTTCTTAACCTGACTTCTGCTGTAGGAAAGGTGGCTCAGCTTTTGGGAGTTGAAAACTTGTCTAATAAAAGATGTTACCTGACTCTGTAACCCTTGGCTTTCCCCTGCATCTATGTAGGATTCTCCCTGTTAGTCCCAGCTGGGTGATGTGTCACCATGAGCACAGTCCCAGTGTCACATTCCCAGTGTCACAGTCCCATCCTGCTGAGTGCTGCTGGCCTTCCTCCCCCCACCACATCCCAGCTCAGCACTCACACCCTCCTGGTCACATCCAACTTTCTGTTCCTTGGGCCAAAAATCCTGGGGATCCAAAAATCCTGCCCTGGCTGGGGCATCACTTGCAATTTTCATTTAAGACTTGAGGAATTTCGCTTTCTTCTCTTTTGGGCACTGAGCCAGAGCCCAGAACTGTGAACATTTCAGTTTGGGGAGGATGTGGAGAGGGACTTGGCACCAGAATTGTGCCTGAGCGATGAATTAAATGTGACATTGGATGACAGGCAAAGCCAGCATCCAGGATAGATATTATTTGGTCCTTGGAACTTCACAGTCTTCAGGGAGTTAGTCTTGATTTTGGGAGAGAGGACCCAGTGCATTTGGACCATCTGAGATCTGTTATGTTTCACCTGTTTTGTATAAATTTGTTTTCTGTATAAGGAGTTTCCACTCAGCTGAGGCTGGGCCAGGCATTTTTATTCACCTGGAGAACATGAGCAAAAGCAAAGGAGTTGGGTTTCTCAGGCTGAGAGTGCAGCCCTGTATCCCCCCCTGCTCCCTGGAGCACTGTTCTGGGCTGGGTCCACTGATCTCCCAAGGACAGCAATTCCAGTAAGGCTCCAAGTCCTACTTTTTTTTCTTTTTTTTTTTTTTTTTTTTTTTTTTTTAAGGAAAAAAGCATCTTGCATCTCCCCTACTCTCTCTGTAATCCAGTCAAAATGAAAAAGGTTTAGTTTCCTAGGGAGGTGGTAGAGCACAGATTACCTTTGTCTCTTTTTCTTCCCTTCCCCTTTTTCTTTCTGCTCAGTGTTTAACGATCCCTCCTTGCCAGACTATAATTATGAAGATTAAAAAGCATCAACAAGGTGTCGCATAATGATGAAGATATTGTCGATAGGAACGTGAGAGCAGGATCAGGTCTGAGTATTTATTCAGGTGATGCTTTGTTAAAATGCCCCTTGGGGGAGGGGATACCAGGACAGGGCCATGGTGGGTTTTGTACCAGGAGGACCCTGGGGTGCAGGACTTGGACCCCCTTCAATTTGTTTCTTCTCTTGTCCTCTCCTGCCAGGGAAGTGCCATGGCAGACAGAGTTCCCCAAGGGCAAATTCAGCCCTCCAAAGCCAAGCTGGGTGCAGCAATTCCCTCCAAAGCCAAGCTGGGTGCAGCAATTCCCTCCAAAGCCAAGCTGGGTGCAGCAATCCCCTCCAGTGTGTTCCTGAGAGCCTTTCCCAGACCCAGCACTGCACTGGGCTCAGGCTGTGATAATGGCAGTGCACTAATGTCCCCAGATCACCCTCTCTCCAAGCTATTTATGGGACACCACGCTGCTTTGCAGCATCAGGGACGCTCTGCTGCCTCCACAATCACCTCCCTGCTGGAGCTGGACCACAGCTCTCTGAAAACCTTCCTCCCAGGTCTGCTTTGGGCAGGGGGCCGAGGTCTGTGTCATGTCTGTGTGCAGATTGCACAGCTCGATGGTTCATCAGCATCTGCTGGAGAGGGGGTGGCTCTGCTCCTCTCTGCTCGTGGGGCTCACCAGCTGTGCCCATAGCCAGGCCTTTAGGGGTGGGAGCCTGGATTAGTGAGTGCACAGTGGTTTATATATCCTGTAGAAACTGCTTTGCACCCCTCCAGAGTGGGAATTTCCCTCATTTGGAAATTAAAGGGACCTGAGCTGGTCCATGCCTGCACAGGGGTGTCAGTGTTTTGATGATGCATCCCCTCTCCCAGGTGGGTCAGCTCTGTCAGGGAGTGTTTGTGGCAGAGCTCCTTAGTGCTGACAAGCCCAGGGTGTTGCTTTTCCCCTTGATTAGGTGGGAGGTGAGAGGGGTGGGGAGCTGTGCTGTGCTGCTTGTCCAGAGCCCATGGCCAGGTGCCCCTGATCCATGGGGATGGGACAGGGCTGCTCCATGGGGATGGGCAGGAGTTGGGGGCCTGTCTGCTGTGAGCTGATCCTCCTAGAGCAGGCAAAGGAAACCTTTTGTTCTTGAGCTGGCTGCTGCTGAGAGCGAGGCTGCCCTGGGTCTGGGCTCAGGTGTGCTGTCTGTGTGACAGCAGCGTCAGAGCTGCCTGGATGGAGGGAGGGAGGGAGCTCGTGGGATCCCCTCTGATGCCATGTCTTGCCCAGGAGTCTTTCCAGGCAAGGAAAGCCTGGCCATGCTGTGCTGGGATCTGCTCTGGGAGCTCCTCCACTAGATCTCCCTGGGAAAGCCCAGCCCTTCTTGAGCTGCTTAACCTGGTGCTTGAGCTCCCCACAACATCTCCCAGTCACTAGTGAGGGTTTTGAAGCAGGTCACGATATTGGTTAACCCTCTCCAGCAGCAGATAATTGCAGTGCTGGAGCCCAGAGTTGAAGGTTGGTTCCTACTCCTCTTTGGCTCTGTAGGAACGCTTAGGTGCAGAGCTGTGGGCTCCTTTACACGTGGAAAAGCCTGGTGGCTGTGCTGTGTCTGTGCTGTGTCTGTGTGCAGCTCCGGAGTCCTTAGAGGACGCTGTGAGCTTGTAAAGGGAGTTGGAGGCTCCTGTCCTCTGTGGTTTGTTTCCCTTTGGCTCAGGGATGCTGAGAGGCACCCCAAGGGCTTCCTCAGCTCCCTGTCCCACACAGGATTTACCTGTTGGAAGACAAACCTGGCTGGCTGGGGCTTGTCTTTCCTCTGTCTCCTCCTCGAGATTTCCCCTGGGTTTGGTGGCTGAGATCACGCTGCTGCTCTGGGAGCTGTCACACTGACACCTGGCACTGGATCTGCCAGGGCTTTTCCCGTGTGTCTGCTGGAGGCTGCTGCACCTCCACGGAGTCTCAGGGATGATGGCAGCGTCTCTGAGCAGTGGAAGGAGGCCAGACATCCATCCCTTGGCACAGAGCTCTTTACACTCCCTGGTGCACAACCAGGCTGGCACAGAGCTCTTGCCTTCAGCCCTTCCACCCCCAAATGAGTGACTGGCCTGAATTTAGCAGGAGCAGTGCTGGGAGCTCCTGTCCCTCACTGGAGGTGACGTGCAGATGACATCGTGCCCAGTGTGTCCCCTGGCAGCCACTTCCCTGCCAGCCCTGGGGTGGCCCCAGGCCAACTCAGTGCTGCGGGGCAGGTCCCTCCTTGTCCCCTTGTGCACAGGGGACACAATGACACTGCCGGTGGCCCAGTTACAGGGAACAAAAGGCTTTATTTAAAAAACTGAAAGGGTTTTTTTTTAGATCTTTGGGAGGAAAGGAAGGTAAAGATCTCTCTTGAGTCCTCTCTCCCAGAGGAATACAGGTATTGTTTATTGTGGTTCCTGCAGTCTGGGTTGTTGGGCTGGACTTGGTGGAGCAGCCTACAGGCTCTGGCTCAGCTTCCCACAGAAGATGCAAACCCACCCTTGAGTGCAGAGGAGGAGTCCTCAGGGCCTGCCCACTGGAGCAGGCTGCAGGGATTTCAGAGGGGGTTCTCAGGCAAAGCCCCCTGCTCAGTGCCAGGGTTTGGGCAGAAGCGCCCTGGGCTCTTGGTGAAGCACACGTGAGGCTGGGGCTGCACAGATGCTCTCTGCCAGGGCTGGGTGGGGTGGGCCAGAAGGATGGAGCTGGGATTGTCCCACCCACCCAAAGCCTCTCCTGCTGCTGTGCAAAGGAATTACCCCAGGGGCAGAGGGTGGCGGGGCTGGCCCACCAGGGAGGAGCTGGCTCCTCATCACACTTTGCTCCAGCTCTGCTTTTCTCTCCCGCAGGATTTTCGTGCTGGGCATTGGATTTTTCACCCTGTGCTTCCTGATGACCTCCCTGGGAGGGCAGTTCTCAGCCAAGCGCCTGGGGGACTCCCCCTTCACCATCCGCACCGAAGGTGAGCACGGCGCCGAGCCCAGCCTGTGCCTGGGGCAGCTCCATGGAGCGCCAGGGACGCAGGAGGATGGGGCTCGGATCTTCCATTCCCACGGGTCCTTCCTGGCCCTTTTTTGGGATTGTTCAATACTCTGTGTCCAGCCTGTCCCCCGTGGTGCTCCGTAGTCCAGCTGAGATGATGAGTGCCAGGGATGCAGGAGGATGGGGCTCGGATCCTCCATTCCCACAGGTCCTTCCTGGCCTTTTTTTGGGATTATCCAGTCCTCTGTGCCCAGCCTGTCCCATGTGATGCTCCATAGCCCAGCTGAGCTGACGAGTGCCAGGGATGCAGGAGGATGGGGCTCGGATCTTCCATTCCCACGGGTCCTTCCTGACCCTTTTTTGGGATTGTTCAATACTCTGTGTCCAGCCTGTCCATGGTACAGCTCCATAGTCCAGGCACCAGGAGTGCCAGGGATGCAGGAAGATGGGGCTCGGATCTTCCATTCCCACGGGTCCTTCCTGGCCCTTTTTTGGGATTATCAGGATGGCTCAGGGTTCTGCTAGCCTCTCTTGCCATGGCAGGGAAGTTTTGCTGTGTGGCTCAAACCTGGCTGTGCTTTCATCCAGAGGTGTGACGTGGTGGGGATGGATGCTGGGATGTAGATGAATGTTGGGATGTGGATGCTGAGCCTGGCTGACAGCACAAAATGGGGAAGCAGTGGGATCAGCCCCTCAGCTGGCAGCACTGTGGGTTGTGTGGGCTGCCCCTGGTCTCATGTGTGGAGGATTTAGCTCAGGTGCTTGGAGGTCTCAGTGGGTTTGAGCACTTGTGGTCTGCAGGGCGTGGAAATTGCTCCTTAGGAAAAGGAAATTAAAAGGCCTTTGTGGGTTTATGCAGGTTTGTAGAAGAGAGATATTCTAATTTATAACAAGTGTGTGTTATGTTGCATTTAACACCTCTTTTGGCAAGACACGAAGTCAGCTCAGGAGACACTCCTGTGGTGGGACAGCCACGTCCCTTTCTCTGAGAGGACACTGCTGCCATGGATTGAGCTTCCCCTGATTTTTCTCTGAGGTTTCAGTCACCTGAAATGCACAGAAGGAACTGCCCAGCTTGAACTCCCCTGAGCAGGGTGAGATGGGCTTGGTCAGGCCACCGTGGTCTTCTCCTCCTCCATACCAAAACCATGGAAGGATCTGAGCTCCACAGCCTCACCTAGACCTGAGTTTTACAGCCACACCTAGGATGTGATTTTGGAGCATTAAATCCTTTCCTTGGGGTGCTGGAAGAAGTGCCAACTGCTTCCCTACAGCAGGAGAGGGATGGTGTGGTGGTTTCCAGAAGCTGGGTGGTGTTAAACTGCTTACTGACTTTCCCAGAGATGGATTTGCAGCCTGTGGCAGCTGGATTTGTGTTCTCCCTATGGATGGAGGACACTGTGGCTGATTTTCCTCCCCCTCTGCTCCCCTAAGTGTTTCCATCACCAGCTCCATTAAACCCTTTGCTGAGGATTGGTGTTTTCCTGGTGACCTCAGCCTGGAGCAGGTGGCAGGGTCAGTGCTTTTCAGTGTTTCTGCACTTGGTCAGGGTACATGTTCCCATGGGGAAGGTGGGTTTTGTGTTCCTGTCCCCAAGCCAAGCACACGTTCCAGGCTGGCTGCTGAGTGAAGCCTGGTTTTAGGGGATTTCTTCCTTCTTGGGATAAGAAACAGCAGGAGGAGAGTGGATAGAAGCCCCCAGAACCTTCTCCAAACCTTCTCCAGACCTGTCTTTTGAGGAGATGGGTTGTGAAAAGATTGCTGGGTTTGAAATTAAAGGTGTCAATGTAACAGCTGCCCTCTGTCCAGAGGAGTCCCAGTGCCCCTGAAAAGTTTGTAGAGGACTGAAAGAAGGGCAGAGACACTGACTGGCTGTGGGGCAGCTGAGGTGTGGGGCAGGTTGTGCTGCAAAGAGCAGCAAAGGTTTCCAGAAACCTGCAGAAGCACCTGGGGCCCAGAGGGCTCTAAAGTTGGAGTGAAATAATGGCAAAAAGATCATTACTCAGCTCTTTACCCCCTTCCTGGATGCCTTGGAGTGGCTTTTCCCATCTTGATCCTTGTTATCAATTTAACCCAGACCTTTGAATCCACTGGCTGCATCCTTGCCTGTCTCGTTTACTGGGAGCAGTGTCAGCACAGCCCTGGAGCTGGGTCAAAACAAATCTCCTTTTTCAGGCCCTCACACCTCAAACCCTCCACACTTAGGGGTTCAGGTGATTAAATCAAGGTGTGTAGATGGGTTCACCCTCTTGCCTGATCCTCTGTGGCTCTGCTGAGAGCTGTGGGCACCAGCCTTGCTGCTTGGGACAGATGCTGCTGTGCTCAGAGCTGGTGCAGGTTGAATGTTGCTTCTGGTAATGCCTGACTGGCCTCATTTAAAGAAGAAAAGAAGTAAATTATGACCTAGGTCCTCTAATTTTTCAAGATTTTGGTCTCTTAGCTTTCTAACTGGGTAAGGCAAATCCTACTTTGTTAGAAAGCTCAAAAATTCGATGCAAATCCAATTTTTTTCCTATATTCAGTGGCTTTGCCAAACAAACTATTGCTTCCAGATGAATTGCTGCACATTTGGCTGTTGCTGTGCTGCTTATTGGGGAAGATGAGCTTCATTCATGGCCTCACACACTGGTTTTAAACACAAAGCATCCTCTCTCCTGCCTCAGGAGGAAGATGCTGGGGGAAGGTTGTGTTCTTTGTCCCTAAAGCTTGGCAGGCACACCCTGAGAGGCTTTTTGTCACTCTTTAACACCTGGTTCAGGCTTTTGGGGTTCAGCCTTTCCTGTCACACTGGTTTGTAGGGACTGGCTGTGTCCCAGGGTGATGTTGCTGCTCCCAGGGGGGAGTAACCCCCAAAGCAGAGTGGGACCAAGACCTCAGGGAATGAGCTGGCCAGGGTCACCACAGACCTCCCTGGGTCACCTGGGAAAGGCTGTGGCTGTTGTGGGGAGGATGTGATGGCTGGAAGGATCAGCTCTCCCAGCCATGGGAAGGCCAGGAGGGGTGATGGCTCCTGGGCCACTGGAGATGGGGAGTCACAGCCCCTGGGGCTGGGGAGTCAAATCCATCCCTGCAGATGTGAGAGCACACCCAGCTGTGGCAGCTGTGGGCAGGTCTGACCCCTCTGTTTGGGAGTCCAGAGGTGTCTCCTGGCCAAGGGGAGGCAGAGCTCCCCTGGAGGAGCGTGGAATGAACATCCAAGTGGGGAGGTGGGAGCAGGAATGGATGTGCTGCTTGTTAGTGCTGTGAATTCTCCAAAGGTCTGTTTGAATAACAAACTGGCATTTAATTAACATGTGTTCTGGATCCCAGGGAAACCCGGGAAATATTCCTGGCAGTTATGGTTGCTGTTAAGCACACAGAGCTGGGCTGGAGGGGAGCTCAGAGCAGGTTAATTGTGCTGGGCTGACGAGCTCTGGGTGTGATAAGGACGGGGAATCTGCACGAACCTGAGCAGGTTCATGGCCAGAGGCTTGGGAAGAGTTCCTGGGTGTGTGGCCTCAGGTCTGCCATGCCCAGGCCTGAGTGTTTCCCTGGAATGGGATCCTGGTGGGGAAGGAGCCTGGTCCCTGCTGCTGTTCCCTGCTCCACCTGCACTCCTGGAGGTGTCCTTTGGAGCATTATTCATTAATTAATGGATGTGGCAGGGAAACTGCCAACATCCTCCTCCCTGTGCTCTGGGGTGGCTGCTCTGCAGTGGAGCTGGAGAATAAATGGGGTGGGTTTGTGGTGAGTGAGAGTCAGCTCCTGCAGTCCTTCCTGGGGCTGATCCCAGCTTTTGTGGCTGTCTGTGCTGCTCCTTGTCCTGCCAGACCCAGCTCAGGAGAAGCTGCCCATGCCCTTCAGTGCCTGCGGGGTTGGGGTGGCTGCAGAGAGCTGGGGGATGTAAAAAATTAATTTATTTTAAAATCATCTGCATCCAAAAAATCCTTTGGGTTGTGGTTTAATGCTGAAGTTCATAGTTCCTGGTCCAGTTTAGGCTGGGGCTGTTCCTGTTTCTCCCTGAGTGACCTGCCCAGCCCAGCCTTGAGCCTCAGCTATTGCAATTCAAAGGGAGACATGAGAACGCCCCAGCCCTGCCCAGAGCTTTCCTGGCTCCTGAACTGTGAGAGCAGCCAATCATAACCAAAATAAACATAGATGTGAGGCAGGAGCATGAAAAGGAGAAATTGATAATGTCACAGTCCAGAAGTTAATACGATTTAGAATTTGATTTTTGTATGTGAATACCTTTCTTGGAGATTCTCTCCAAAAGCCAAGTTTCTCGGTGTGTGCCAGAAATCATTCCTCAGATGGATTCTCTGCTTGATGATTCGCTGCAGTAGAGGCTTTGCATCTTAACAATAAATAAAAAAAACCCATCTGAAATGCAAGTTATTTTATCCTAATCCGCTGCTGTCAAGTAAACACAGACAAAGGTTCCTTTGTTTTGAAATGGCCACTGAGAGAATTTGTTCTGCAAACAAAGATGTAGATAAAAAAGGGAAACAGAGAAGTCTATAAATTTTGAATGTGGGAGATGCTTTGGGAAGGGCTCTAAACTCAAGAGATTGAGTTTTCTGTGCCCTCTTCTCTCCTCTTATTTAGAATGTAATATGTTTGATGTTCCTTTTTTTTCCCCAATCAGCTTTCTTGCAGTTGTTTCACTGCTGGAGTCAGGGGGCAGGAGGCTGATGCTCAAAAAGTACCAAATTCTGTAATCATGGTGCTGGGAGGGATTTGGCCCATGGCTGTGCCCCAGGCTGGATTTGGTGGGATGTACATCCCGCTGGTGGAGCTTGCTGCTGTAGGGGATTAGCAGGGGAAAAATAGGTTATTAAGTGTTAAAATGTGATTAGATGTGGCTGGAATATTGCCTGCAGCTGCTGGAGCTGGTTCAAAGAATCAAAAGCCTTTGGATTCCTCTTGCTGTTGGTTCCTGTGGGGTTGGGTATGAGGTGCTGAAGGGATTGGCTGCAAACCCAGGGGAGGTGTAGGACAGGT